ATACTCTCAAGAAGGCAGTTCAGTTCTCCTATACTCTCAAGAAGGCGGCAGTTCTCCTATACTCTCAAAGAAGGCAGCCTATACTTTTCTCTCTATTTCTCCTATACTCTCAAAGGCAGTTCTCTATATACTCTCAACAAGGCAGTTCTCCTATACTCTCAACAAGGCAGGCAGTTCTCCTATACTCTCAAGAAGGCGGCAGTTCTCCTATACTCTCAACAAGGCAGTTCTCCTATACTCTCAAGAAGGCAGTTCTCCTATACTCTCAAGAAGCGGCAGTTCTCCTATACTCTCAAGAAGGCGTGCAGTTCTCCTATACTCTCCTAAGAAGGCGGCAGTTCTCCTATACTCTCAAGAAGGCTGCAGTTTTTCTATATTTTCAACAAGGCGGCAGTTCTCCTATACTCTCAACAAGGCGGCAGTTCTCCTATACTCTCAACAAGGCGGCAGTTCTCCTACACTCTCAAGAAGGTGGCAGTTCTCCTATACTCTCAACAAGGCGGCAGTTCTCCTATTCTCTCAACAAGGCGGCAGTTCTCCTATACTCTCAACAAGGCGGCAGTTCTCCTATACTCTCAAGAAGGCGGCAGTTTTTCTATATTTTCAACAAGGCGGCAGTTTTCCTATACTCTCAACAAGGCGGCAGTTCTCCTATTCTCTCAGAACATTTTGCAAAGTGACTGTCATTCACTCACTCACTCAAATTAAATCCTGCTGTTTAAAGAGATATGTAATAATTAATCACTACTCTTGAGAAAGCTGTCAATTTCAGTGATTGTGTGAGTCCCCATTTACCCAATGCTAATGTAGGCATGTCTCTTTGTCAGGTGTTGACACAGTGGATGTCAATCAGCCATCTGTATTGTATTTCAGATGACCATAGCAGTTGCCAACCATTTACTGTCAGAATGCTTGAAAACAAGCTGGTCAATTAACGATCATTAGCACACTCGGTCACTGCTCTGGCTGGCTGGTCAGATTCTTGACCTCTCTTCACTGTTTGATATGGGTCGGCCATCTCGGGGTCAGGCTTGGAGCAGGCCTGGGCTGTATGCAGGTTGGGGCCTTGCTGGCTCATGGATGGCTATCACATGTCCAGCAGCAAGCAGGTCAGGGAAAGAGGCCAGCCTTGCACACACAACAATCTTGACCAGTCTTCACAAACACGTGGTGCATGTTTAACCCTATCCTCACCGCGTCTCATATAGTTTATGTAACCAAATTCAATCTAACACAGTACGTGTTGCAGCTTTATACCACAGTCTGTGAAATCAGCATCAATTGACTTCATGTTTGTGTGGTTTAACCCTTCCTGAGGTCGCAGGTGTACTTACTAACATACTGACTCACCTACTAACATACTGACTCACCAACCAACACATTGTCTTACCCACCAACATACTGACTCACCCACCACCACATTGTCTTACCCACCAACAAAATGACTCACCAACCAACACATTATCTTACCCACCAACATGCTGACTCACCAACCAACACATTGTCTCACCTACATACTGACTCATTTACCAACACATTGTCTCACTTACCAACATGCTGACTCACCAACCAACACATTGTCTCACAAACATACTGACTCATTTACCAACACATTGTCTCACTTACCAACATGCTGACTAACCCACCAACACATTGTCTCACCTACATACTGACTCACTCACCAACACATCGTCTCACCTAACACCATACTGACTCATCTACCAACACAATGTCTCACTTACCAACATGCTGACTCACCCACCAACACATTATCTCACCCACCAACATACTGACTCACCCACCAACACATTGTCTCACCTACCACCATACTGACTCATTTACCAACACATTGTCTCACTTACCAACATGCTGACTCACCCACCAACATACTGACTCACCCACCAACACATTGCCTCACCTACCACCATACTGACTCATTTACCAACACATTGTCTCACTTACCAACATGCTGACTCACATACCACCATACTCACCCACCAACACATTGTCTCACCTACCACCATACTGACTCACCCACCAACACATTGTCTCACCTACCACCATACTGACTCATTTACCAACACATTGTCTCACTTACCAACATGCTGACTCACCCACCAACATACTGACTCACCCACCAACACATCGTCTCACCTACCACCATACTGACTCATTTACTAACACATTGTCTCACTTACCAGCATGCTGACTCACCCACCAACATACTGACTCACAGCAACTCATCGTCTCACCTACCACCATACTGACTCATTTACTAACACATTGTCTCACTTACCAACATGCTGACTCACTTCAACAACAAACCAAATAGAAAGAAATTAACATTACCCAGCAGGTTCATTTGTGGATGAAGTCAGTTGTACCAGGGACAGTTTCAAGGTGACTCTGGACAAAATATAGCAGCAATTTGTCCTGGTCTACCTGTGATGTTCCAACATCCCTGTATGAGATAACTCTGTACTGGAGTACTCACCCACCAACATACTGACTCACCCACCAACACATTGTCTCACCTACCACCATACTGACTCATTTACCAACACATTGTCTCACTTACCAACATGCTGACTCACCCACCAACATACTGACTCACCCACCAACACATTGTCTCACCTACCACCATACTGACTCATTTACCAACACATTGTCTCACTTACCAACATGCTGACTCACCCACCAACATACTGACTCACCCACCAACACATTGTCTCACCTACCACCATACTGACTCATTTACTAACACATTGTCTCACTTACCAACATGCTGACTCACCCACCAACACATTGTCTCACCTACCACCATACTGACTCATTTACCAACACATTGTCTCACTTACCAACATGCTGACTCACCCACCAACATACTGACTCACCCACCAACACATTGTCTCACCTACCACCATACTGACTCATTTACCAACACATTGTCTCACCTACCAACATGCTGACTCACCCACCAACATACTGACTCACCCACCAACACATTGTCTCACCTACCACCATACTGACTCACCTACCAACACATTGTCTCACCCACCAACATGCTGACTCACCCACCAACATACTGACTCACCCACCAACACATTGCCTCACCTACCACCATACTGACTCACCCACCAACACATTGTCTCACCTACCACCATACTGACTCATTTACCAACACATTGTCTCACTTACCAACATGCTGACTCACCCACCAACATACTGACTCACCCACCAACACATCGTCTCACCTACCACCATACTGACTCATTTACTAACACATTGTCTCACTTACCAGCATGCTGACTCACCCACCAACATACTGCCTCACAGCAACTCATCGTCTCACCTACCACCATACTGACTCATTTACTAACACATTGTCTCACTTACCAACATGCTGACTCACTTCAACAACAAACCAAATAGAAAGAAATTAACATTACCCAGCAGGTTCATTTGTGGATGAAGTCAGTTGTACCAGGGACAGTTTCAAGGTGACTCTGGACAAAATATAGCAGCAATTTGTCCTGGTCTACCTGTGATGTTCCAACATCCCTGTATGAGATAACTCTGTACTGGAGTAGATATGTCACATAAACTGAAGTGTAATACTATTGTCTGTGGTCAGATGTTGATTTGTAGTGTAACATTTGGAATTAGATGTAGATATAGCCTATCTGTAGCAATATTTGTAAATAACTGCCACATGCACCAGGCACAAGGAGGAATTACCATGCAGACATATTCCTGTTTCATCTGCACAGAGATAAAACTTCCTCTCCACAGAGGTCCTGAATGAACACAAATAACCCTAGAATGTTCATTGAAGTTGAAAAGATTGTTTCTGTAAATGGTTTTCCCCAGCCCATCTAGGACTGATGATGTGCCAGGTTATACCGTCAGTGCACTATTTCTGTATGTTTCAATATCCATCACCTTTAACTGTTGTATTTACGGAAGTTGTGGGGCACAAAAGACTCTTCCTCTATCCCGCTGAATCGCAGGCATGTTGCAGAATTTGAAGTGTGTTGAATGAAGATTAAACAGACTGACTTATTTGCTAGGCAAATGAACTTGTCTTAAATTTGAATGATTACTGAAAGTGGGAAGCAATCAAACTGTTTGTATGGTAGCTTGTCCTCCTCCTATTTTCAAACATGCGGCTCGTGCGGCAGACAGTTGATTACCAACTGCTAATTGTACGGTGACTGAACGCTAGTTGACTCCAAGTTTGCGTCTACCCATAGCTGGGCTGGCAGGATGACACTAATCACTTTCTATTTGACCAGTAGTTACATGTCTAGTTCCGTGTCTAGTTCACTGTCTAGTTCACTGTCAAGACTAACAACTGTTATTTTTGTAGAAATGACTTTAAATTCTTTTGTTTTAAATGCTTCTAAGTTTGTCACTTTTGTTTTTCTCAAGTGACACTAACTATGGTAATTAAAGTGTGTTTGCTTGTCGTAAAACATATCAATGATTGTGTTTTAATATTCTTAAAGGGGCTGTTGGGGGAGGGTTGTTCAAGTGTCAGATTATTGCACTGAGTGAAACCATGGGTTGATCAAGTAAACCCAGTCAGTCGGGAACTATATTATGAACACTGACATGAACATTTTATCTGAACAAACAAGTATTAGTAATTATCTTCTTGATTGTGATTCAAGAATCAGACAATTACAAAAGATATCATTGGTCAGTGGGGGAAACCATGTTGTTTGTGGTGTAAAGGGGACCACTTTCAGACAAGGAGTCATATACACTGTCCGCCCACCTGGTACCCCTGAACTGAAACCAAGATTTATCCAGTTTCAGAATCTCATATTTAGAATCTTCTTAAGATTGTCAATTTGGGTTGCTTGAAGCTGTTTCTAATGTTTGTTTTAAGCATGTGTTGACATTGGTATTTTAGATCAGATGAGTTAAGAACAGTGCTTGGTTACGAGGAGCCTAGTTTTCACAGTCCTCCTAATCCAGGTATGTTTGTGTCTCAGGTCCATGATAAAGGTCCTGATGCAAAGAAACTGAGAATGTCCGACTCCTGTCCAGTCACACATGAAAGTGAGCGTCCACTGCCTCCAGGAGGTGGTACGTCTGCTCCAGGACATCCGGCCACTATTGATGTCTCGTCCACAGGATCTGGTCAGTTTGGCAGTAGTGTTTGTTGTAATAATGTCATAAGTCTGTTGTCAGATAACAACCTGACATGGAGAAATGGCTGAAGTGAATATTCCTCCTGATTGTGTGAACCACAACCGGCAACTGATGCTTGTTCCTCCATTCCAGATGCTGCTCCTGTGGCTGATGCATCTTTTGAAGGGGAGGCAGCTCTGGAAGACACAGGGGAAGCAACTCTGGACAGAGGGAAGGTTGCTCAGGAATGCTGTAAAACAGCAGCAAGTGACCGAGGAGCAGATCGAGAAGGGAAATTCAAAGATATTGACAGTTCTGAGCTTCACAGACAATTGACATTAGTGGATCCTGTGACTGCGAAAAAGATTCATCCACATAATCGCAGGAAGATTATCAGGTTTGTGACGATTGAAGCTGTATAATATTTCGTATACAAGCAATGTAGTAGTACTTGTAGTGGCCACTTAAATCAAGGCAGCGGGTTGTCAATGAGAGTATTGTAGCTTCTTGGAATTTCCAGATTCTTCAGTTACTATTTGATTGATCAAATGAACTCAGTATTTACATGTCATGATAACTGTCTTGCATGTTAATGCTGTATGGCTGTAATATTGCCAATGCGATGTAAAATTTTAACTCACTCACTCATTCTTGCATGTTTCTATAGTTCATTCAGCATCCCACTCTGATGTAACATTGTATGACATCAAGTTGGTGATCGACACACTAGGGGATAAATAGTAGTAAAGTCCCCGTTGATTATGGTACGGAGGGATCTGCTGATACATATGTGGCTATAGTATCCCTTCATTGGCACATAGAGCGCTGGAAGTGTACAGCCAACATGGAGTTCCGCTCAGCGACATCCTCAAGTCCCAGCATGCATCAGCAGGAGGCACAGACGCTCTCAGTGGACCAGTGAGATATGACAAGACTTGCATCTTTTGGATACAGTGTGATCAGACAGGTGGGAGACAATTCTAATAAGAAACAATTATTTAGTATCACAACTCTACAACTTCATGCTGCTGTCTCATGGACATTCTTGGATGTCACATCATGTTGCTGCTGTCACATGGACATTCTTGGATGTCACATCATGATGCTGCTGTCACATGGACATTCTTGGATGTCATCATGTTGCTGCTGTCACATGGACATTCTTGGATGTCACATCATGTTGCTGCTGTCACATGGACATTCTTGGATGTCACATCATGTTGCTGCTGTCACATGGACATTCTTGGATGTCACATCATGTTGCTGCTGTCACATGGACATTCTTGGATGTCACATCATGTTGCTGCTCTCATGGACATTCTTGGATGTCAAATGTTGCTGTCACATCGACATTCTTGGATGTCACATCATGTTGCTGCTGTCACATGGACATTCTTGGATGTCACATCATGATGCTGCTGTCACATGGACATTCTTGGATGTCATCATGTTGCTACTGTGACATGGACATTCTTGGATGTCACATCATGTTGCTGCTGTCACATGGACATTCTTGGATGTCACATCATGTTGCTGCTCTCATGGACATTCTTGGATGTCAAATGTTGCTGTCACATCGACATTCTTGGATGTCACATCATGTTGCTGCTGTCACATGGACATTCTTGGATGTCACATCATGATGCTGCTGTCACATGGACATTCTTGGATGTCATCATGTTGCTACTGTGACATGGACATTATTGGATGTCACATGATGCTGCTGTCTCATGGATATTCTTGGATGTCACATCATGTTGCTGCTGTCACATGGACATTCTTGGATGTCATCATGTTGCTGCTGTGACATGGACATTCTTGGATATCACATCATGTTGCTGCTGTCACATGGACATTCTTGGATGTCACATCATGATGCTGCTGTCTCATGGACATTCTTGGATGTCACATCATGTTGCTGCTGTCACATGGACATTCTTGGATGTCACATCATGTTGCTGCTGTCTCATGGACATTCTTGGATGTCACATCATGTTGCTGCTGTCTCATGGACATTCTTGGATGTCACATGTTGCTGCTGTCTCATGGACATTCTTGGATGTCATGTTGCTGCTGTCTCATGGAAATTCTTGGATGTCATGTTGCTGCTGTCTCATGGACATTCTTGGATGTCACATCATGTTGCTGCTGTCACATGGACATTCTTGGATGTCACATCATGTTGCTGCTGTCACATGGACATTCTTGGATGTCACGTCATGTCTGTCACATTCTTGGATGTCATGCTGCTGTCACATGGACATTCTTGGATGTCACATCATGTTGCTGTCTGTCACATGGACATTCTTGGATGTCACATCATGTTGCTGCTGTCACATGGACATTCTTGGATGTCACATCATGTTGCTGCTGTCACATGGACATTCTTGGATGTCATGTTGCTGCTGTCACATGGACATTCTTGGATGTCACATCATGTTGCTGCTGTCACATGGACATTCTTGGATGTCACATCATGTTGCTGCTGTCACATGGACATTCTTGGATGTCACATCATGTTGCTGCTGTCACATGGACATTCTTGGATGTCATCATGTTGCTGCTGTCACATGGACATTCTTGGATGTCACATCATGTTGCTGCTGTCACATGGACATTCTTGGATGTCACCTCATGTTGCTGCTGTCACATGGACATTCTTGGATGTCACATGCTGCTGTCACATGGACATTCTTGGATGTCACATCATGTTGCTGCTGTCACATGGACATTCTTGGATGTCACATCATGTTGCTGCTGTCACATGGACATTCTTGGATGTCACATCATGTTGCTGCTGTCACATGGACATTCTTGGATGTCACATCATGTTGCTGCTGTCACATGGACATTCTTGGATGTCACATCATGTTGCTGCTGTCACATGGACATTCTTGGATGTCATCATGTTGCTGCTGTCTCATGGACATTCTTGGATGTCACATCATGTTGCTGCTGTCACATGGACATTCTTGGATGTCACATCATGTTGCTGCTGTCTCATGGACATTCTTGGATGTCACATCATGTTGCAGCTGTCACATGGACATTCTTGGATGTCACATCATGTTGCTGCTGTGACATGGACATCCTTAGATGTCACATCATGTTGCTGCTGTCACATGGACATTCTTGGATGTCACATCATGTTGCTGCTGTCTCATGACATTCTTGGATGTCACATCATGTTGCTGCTGTCTCATGGACATTCTTGGATGTCATCATGTTGCTGCTGTCACATGGACATTCTTGGATGTCACATCATGTTGCTGCTGTCTCATGACATTCTTGGATGTCATCATGTTGCTGCTGTCTCATGGACATTCTTGGATGTCACATTCACATCATGTTACTTTCTGCTGTGACATGGACATCCTTAGATGTCACATGTTGCTGCTGTCACATGGACATTCTTGGATGTTACATCATGTTGCTTCTGTGACATGGACATCCTTAGATGTCACATCATGTTTCTGCTGTCACATGGACATTCTTGGATGTCACATCATGTTGCTGCTGTCTCATGGACATTCTTGGATGTCACATCATGTTGCTGTCTCATGGACATTGTTGGATGTCACATCATGTTGCAGCTGTCACATGGACATCCTTGGATGTCACATCATGTTGCTGCTGTGACATGGACATCCTTAGATGTCACATGTTGCTGCTGTGACATGGACATTCTTGGATGTCACATGTTGCTGCTGTCTCATGGACATTCTTGGATGTCACATCATGTTGCAGCTGTCACATGGACATCCTTGGATGTCACATCATGTTGCTGCTGTCACATGGACATTCTTGGATGTCACATCATGTTGCAGCTGTCACATGGACATGCGGCATGTTGTGGTAACTAGTTGCCTTGTATTCAGTGCTGGACGCCCGTCTGGACGCCCGTGTGGACACCATGATGGAGCATGGTCTTCTTCAGGAACTCCACGACTTCCACAGAGAATACAGACAGAAGATGCAAGGGTACACAAGTTCTCTTTGTTCAACTCTTGTTCTGGGCTAGAAGTGGTCCCCAGCAACCTATGATGATGATGATGATGATGATTTGGAAATTTAACATGCACTTTGTGACATAAGTTTGATCGGAAGAGGAGTCATTTGACCGAAAGATTCAGCAACCTGAAGGGAGCATTAGTGTTGCATAATTATGTTTGTATGAATTTTGAAATTTGCCAGAAATTGTAGTCCCGTAAAGATCAGGGTTTGAATTGATCTTCAGCAGCTCATGCTTGTTGTAAGAGGCGACTAATGGGATTGGGTAGTCAGACTCGCTTACTTGGTTCACACATGTCATCGCATCCCAATTGGTAGATCAATGTTCATGCTATTGATCACAGGATTGTCTGGTCCAGACAACTTATCAGTCTTCACAGTTCAATCAACAAGGCAGAACAAACTGGACATGTGTCATATATTCATCTCCACTGTTTTCTTGTTAGTTAAACACAGTCACACCAGTCACACGGAATGTTTAATTGATGTGTCTATCAGGGATAACCAGGGCATTTAATCATTACCAAGCACAGAAGTCAGTGCAGTCATATGATTGTCATGTGTTCATCTTGTTATTACAAACTGTTATTACAATGTGTTATGGATTAGAATCTGTGTTGAGCTTTAATGAGTGTAAAAGTATGATGGATTGCCACTGAAATTCATAAGTATGGTAAAAGTAAGTATATGCAATATGACAGAGCAATCTGGTAAAGTGCCTGGTTGTACTGGGAGGCTGACAGAGCAATCTGGTAAAACGCCTGGTTGTACTGGGAGGCTGACAGAGCAATCTGGTAAAGTGCTTGGTTGTACTGGGAGGCTGACAGAGCAATCTGGTAAAGCGCCTGGTTGTACTGGGAGGCTGACAGAGCTATCTGGTAAACGCCTGGTTGTACTGGGAGGCTGACAGAGCAATCTGGTAAAGTGCTTGGTTGTACTGGGAGGCTGACAGAGCAATCTAGTGAAGTGCCTGGTTGTACTGGGAGGCTGAAAGAGCAATCTGGTAAAGTGCCTGGTTGTACTGGGAGGCTGACAGAGCAATCTAGTAAAGCACCTGATTGTACTGGGAGGCTGACAGAGCAATCTGGTAAAGCGCCTGGTTGTACTGGGAGGCTGACAGAGCAATCTAGTGAAGTGCCTGGTTGTACTGCGAGGCTGACAAAGCTATCTGGTAAAGCGCCTGGTTGTACTGCGAGGCTGACAGAGCAATCTAGTGAAGTGCCTGGTTGTACTGGGAGGCTGACAAAGCTATCTGGTAAAGCGCCTGGTTGTACTGCGAGGCTGAAAGAGCAATCTAGTGAAGCGCCTGGTTGTACTGGGAGGCTGACAGAGCAATCTAGTGAAGCGCCTGGTTGTACTGGGAGGCTGACAGAGCAATCTAGTGAAGCGCCTGGTTGTACTGGGAGGCTGACAGAGCAATCTGGTAAAGCACCTGGTTGTACCGGGAGGCTGACAGAGCAATCTGGTAAAACGCCTGGTTGTACTGGGAGGCTGACAGAGCAATCTGGTAAAACGCCTGGTTTTACTGGGAGGCTGACAGATCCTACTACAACAGTTAAATTAACTATGTAGCATGAAATACACAATGCCATTTAGAAAGTGGTCAGTGTAATCCCAAATATAACATATGTAACTATGTAGCAGTTGTGCAGGGTTCTGAAACCAAATCAAATTTTTTATGCCCAGGGCATATAGGGTTACCCTCGGTGTCCGTCCGTCCGTCCGTCTGTCCGTCGGTCCGTCCGTATGAAACAGGGAATGTATTCTATCCACTTCTCCACCATAACCGCTCTGTGGAATTCAATGAACTTATACATGGGCTTTCTTGGGACTCTAATGGTGTGCATCTCATATATTTAAAAAAAAATTATTGTTGTTTTTTTGTAAGTTTAGAGACATTTGAACTTAGGTACATTTTGCTGAATTTCTCTATGATGATAGTGTAATAGGGGATGAAGTCTATCCAATTCTCCACAAAAACTGCTCAACAGAATTGAATGAACTTCTACATGTCTTTTGTAGGGACTCTAAAGGTGTGCATTTCATAATTTTTTATGCAATTTCTTAATTTTGTCACTTTTACAGATGTTTGAACTTAGTTGAATTTTGTTCTATTCAGCCAGTGTTCGTTCCATCCAACAGGGGGTGTACGCTATCCACTTCTCCTTAAAAACTTCTTTATGGAATTCATTTAGATTACACATGTGCTTTATAGGGACTCTAAGGCGTGCATCTCATATTTTGATTTTGCATTTTATTTATTTTTCCAATTTTAATGCCGTTTGAACTTACATAAATTTTGTTGAATTTCTCTCTGAATATAGTGTTGTAGGGGGTGAAGTCTATCCACTTCTCCACAAAAGCTGCTCAACAGAATTGATTGAGCTTCTACGTGTGTTTCATTGGAACTCTAAAGGTGTGCATCTCATACCTTGTTCATCCAATTTCTTAATTTTGTCACTTTTACAGATGTTTGAACTTAGTTGAATTTTGTTCTATTCAGTCTGTTCGTTCCATCCAACAGGGGGTGTACTTTATCCACTTCTCCTCAAAAACTACTTTATGGAATTCATTTAGATTACACATGTGCTTTATAGGGACTCTAAAGGCGTGCATCTCATATTTTGATTTTGTATTTTATTTATTTTTTCAATTTTAATGCCGTTTGAACTTACATAAATTTTGTTGAATTTCTCTCTGAATATAGTGTTATAGGGGATGAAGTCTATCCACTTCTCCACAAAAGCTGCTCAATGTGTTTCATTGGAACTCTAAAGGTGTGCATCTCATACCTAGTTCATCCAATTTCTTAATTTTGTCACTTCTACAGATGTTTGAACTTAGTTGAATTTGGTTCTATTCATCCTGTTCGTCCCATACAACAGGGGGTGTACTTTATCCTCTTCTCCTCAAAAACCACTACACAAAACTCATTTAGCTTACATATGTCTTTTATAGAGACTCTAAAGGTGTGCATCTCATATTTTGTTTTTGTATTTTATAGTTTTGTGTATGTTTAGAGTCATTTGAACTTAGATAAATTTTGTTGAATTTCTCTCTGATGATAGTGAAATAAGGGATTAAGTCTATCCACTTCTCCACAAAAACTGCTCAACAGAATTGATTAAGCTTATACATGTGTTTCATTGGGACTCGAAAGGTGTGCATCTCATAGTTGCATAGATGTTTATTGAACTTGTTCGTGAATTTTGTTCAATTATTGATCTTTATTTGTCTTATGAATGTCAGCGGGGGCATCCGTGTCCCTGGACACAATTTTTTCTTGTTTGTTTTTGTGTTAATCTTTGTTAATGAAAGTGGGTAGGTGTCTGCCGAGTGACGAAACCTCGAGAACTCTGGGTGTTTATGTACATCTCTAATCTGTTCCCATTTTGATTATTGTTAAACACAGTTTGCTGTTCAACCATTATGTTTGGAGAAAGTGACTGTCAACTTGTTTTAATAGTTTCACAGTAGAGATCCTTATCCCCTTTGATCATCGGTTCATGAAATTTGATGAGTTTGTGGAAACAATCCCTTGTTGTCATGCCCATCTCAAGTGATGGCAGATAACACTCAGCCTCCGAGTTCATCCCATGCTCCATACAATGTGGTGTACACACTGCCCCGGGACAGATTACAGGTGACTATGTGTACACACACACATACCTCAGGGGGTAACTTTGTTATCGTACTGCTTTTGTTGTGAGCTAGTTTGCCGGGAGATATACGATATATTATCCCATCCACTTATCCAGGATTATCTCCCCCCCCCCCCCTTTCCTGACTCCAGGAAGCAGGATGTGGCCATCGTGTGCAGATTACAGTTGTATTGATCATCCTAAATGAGTGGACAACGCTTCCATGATTAGCAACAAACATCAGATTATCACTGCAGCTCAGCTCACCATCATGTTTTGGTTTTGTTAAGTGTAAACTACTTTTTTGAAAAAGGAATCTATACAGGTGAGAATCAGAAGTATATCCTGGACTCTGGATTGTAGATAGCTGATGGTTTGTGTAGAAGCAACTTCTCGAGTGATTATTGTGTCCCTAACAATAAGGTCGTACTGATTTATTGCATTTCAGTTGAGGTTATGTCAAATGTTTTTGATATTCTTTTTGCCAAAGTTGTCAAATGCTGAAATATTGAGTGACCATTGATCATTTGTGAAAAGGATGATTCATTTTGTGTACAAGTTACCCAAACTTCAATTACTAGTTGATGAAGTCAGGAAGTACTCTATATCCATGCTATTGTGGATGTGAGACTCACCTTGTCCTCAGTTTACATGGTAATTATTGCTTGACCTTATCCTAGTCAATAAGTGAAGAGAATCGATGTCACCTGCTCGCCAGGTAAGATAACAGATGCAAGGCATATACCTCATTGAAAGCCTGCCTTATCGAGTCCGCAGTGGGTGGATTTGTTGACATTGTGATAGCTAGCAGGCGCCTCTAGTGGCAGGTTCTCACAAGCACTTAGCATGAACATCCACGTATTAGTACCTTGAGACCTGGCCATCTGTACGAGATTGGCAGGTAGAGCGGCACCGCAGGTGTGATTATGTGGCCACTAAGGGGTGCTGTGTTTGTTTGCCTGATATCTTCTATACCTGATGATGACCGACTTAATTGAAACATTAACAATGTCTGACCCTGGGGAATTGAATAATTCTTGATTAGAGTCTGTGTCGTGGTCAGCAGCAGGTGGGTGGCTCTAATGGTACAATAAGTCGATCAATGTAGGTGGCTCTAATGGTACAGTAAGTCGATCCATGTAGGTGGCTCTAATGGTACAGTAAGTCGATCCATGTAGGTGGCTCTAATGGTACAATAAGTCGATCCATGTAGGTGGCTCTAATGGTACAATAAGTCGATCCATGTAGGTGGTTCTAATGGTACAATAAGTCGATCCATGTAGGTGGTTCTAATGGTACAATTAGTCGATCCATGTAGGTGGTTCTAATGGTACAGTAAGTCAATCAATGTAGGTGGCTCTAATGGTACAATAAGTCGCTCCATGTAGGTGGCTCTAAGGGTACAATTAGTTGATCAATGTAGGTGGCTCTAATGGTACAATTAGTCAATGTAGGTGGCTCTAATGGTACAATTAGTCGATCAATGTAGGTGGCTCTAATGGTACAGTAAGTCGATCCATGTAGGTGGCTCTAATGGTACAATAAGTCGATCCATGTAGGTGGCTCTAATGGTACAGTAAGTCGATCCATGTAGGTGGCTCTAATGGTACAATTAGTCGATCAATGTAGGTGGCTCTAATGGTACAATTAGTCGATCAATGTAGGTGGCTCTAATGGTACAATTAGTCGATCAATGTAGGTGGCTCTAATGGTACAGTAAGTCGATCCATGTAGATGGCTCTAATGGTACAATTAGTCATCAATGTAGGTGGCTCTAATGGTACAGTAAGTCGATCAATGTAGGTGGCTCTAATGGTACAATTAGTCGATCAATGTAGGTGACTCAAATGGTACAATAAGTCGCTCCATGTAGGTGGCTCTAATGGTACAATAAGTCGATCCATGTAGGTGGCTCTAATGGTACAATAAGTCGATCCATGTAGGTGGCTCTAATGGTACAGTAAGTCGCTCCATGTAGGTGGCTCTAATGGTACAATTAGTCGATCAATGTAGGTGGCTCAAATGGTACAATAAGTCGCTCCATGTAGGTGGCTCTAATGGTACAATTAGTCGATCAATGTAGGTGATACTCATACCAGTTTGGATCATCATGTGAATGCTCAGGGTCGTGGTCAGATGTAACCTGTCTCAGGTTACACTTTCTCAGTAAAGTACACATCTGGCTTTTCAACCAACAGGATTCCAGTCTTTTGTTGAAGTCGCAGTGGCTAGATTGCTGACTTTGTTTGCTGGTGAGGACTCTCAGAGTGTGGGTTTGAATGCCACATGGGACTCAACCTAAAAAGAGGTACCAGAATCTCTACTTTACTGAGAAAGTGTAATCCAAATATAACGTATCTTACTGTAAAATATTGTACAGAATGGATCATAAGTAAAATGTTCAGCATTATTCCGTATTTCTTTGGACATGGTGAGCGGAGAAATGTCGTGACGTTATCTTCCTGATGTTAAACATGCAGATGTCAAAAATGATAAAGCAGTTTTTGTCATACTTTCAGAGACTGTGATTACACTCTCGGAATTTTTCAAAGTATTGGCTTTAAGGAATTTCACAATTACTTGTTGCTGCCAGAGCCTGAGAGCGACACAGTCAAAGGGAGACAACTGAGGGATGAAGGTACGTGAAATGTTCTGACAAAACAACAAGAGTTGTGCCCCTTAGTTACATGTCTCTTCCACACAGTAACACAACTATGCACAATAACTAGCAATATTATAATCAGCTACTACTGAATATGTTTATATTATTTTTGCTTATATTTGTATTCTTTTGTTGTATTTTCAACATTTTACTGGAAAACAAATACAAATAACAACACCAACATGTATGTCGACTGTATCATAGAGCCCAACATCACAAACTTTAGTCATCATGTAACATGGTTTTATTTCATGCTATAGTATAGAATGCATGGAACAGTAACATTGTTTTGTAAAACTTACTTTTGAAAATCAATTTTTGAATGATGGTAATAATGTTGATTGTTTGTACTTGGACATCCAAGTAGTACCTGTCTCTTTGTAATTTCAAGTTTTCAATAAAGTCACATGTCAGGTAATTTACAGGGAAAGTTTAACTGCTGCAACACCAGAATATATGAGTGATTGCTACCAATGGCTAGATCTGCTGTCAGTGATTCTGCCTGTCAACTGACAATGTTGCTATGATTGTGTATGGATAGATCTGATGTCTAAACTACCAGAGCTAAGTACTCAAATGACAAACTTTTGCAGTCTTGGTAATCCAAAGACCTTGTTCTGCCACCTGAATTCCCTTTTGGGTAAAGCTCCAAATACTGTCTTGCCTCAGACAGATGATAACTTGGAGCTAGCGTCAAGCTTCAGTGATTATTTCCAAGCCAAAGTAGAAAAGCTAAGATCTGGCCTAGATGCCTAGATGCCTAGATGCCTTATCTCTGATATTAATGATAATAATAATAATACAGTAGACTTGTTATGCGCCAAAACTCCATGCACTTGGTGTCTGTTCATGGCTCTACACAAAATTAAAATACACTGCAGTAGAGGTGCTATGTTTTCACTGGTATATCAATCTTTATAGAACTTTTGGAAGAGATGAGTCTTTATGCAGCTTTTAAAGATTGTCAATGATTGGGATTTCTTTATTCCCAAGTGAAGATCGTTCCACAGAGTCGGGGCCATGTAAGCAAATGATCTCTGTCCATACTTTTGGAGGCGAGTTTTGGGTACTTTAAGAAGTAACTGATCAGCAGATCTCAGTGTCCGAAAAGGTTCAGATTTCTCAATCAATTCTGTCAGATAGGCAGGAGCTGTTTCATTGACACATCTATATGTCAATGTGAGAATCTTGTATTGGACTCGAGCTTGGACTGGGAGCCAGTGTAGGGAGGTAAGCACTGGTGTTATATGTACACACTTCCTAGTTCGAGTCACGATCCGTGCTGCAGTGTTTTGGACCCATTGGAGTTTTGCAAACTGTTCCTGGGTTAGATTTCCCAACAAGCTATTTGCATAATCAAGTCTTGTCACGAGTGATGACTATGCTGGTGATGTTCTCACAGCCTTTCCTCCGCTTACTCCAGCAGAGGTTCTGGTGCTATTCAGTCAGTCTAAACCAACAACATGTGACTTTAACTCACTTCCCACAAAGTTGTTGTTGGAACATGTTGATGTACTTCTTCCTGTCATCACGGAGTTAATCAACACAAGTCTGGAGACAGGAGTCGTCCCCCCTCCACTCAAGAAGGCTGTTATTAAGCCGACATTGAAGAAACCCACCCTCGATAATAATCAGTTGAACAACTACAGACCTGTATCAAATTTGCCTTTTCTGGCTAAACTCCTTGAAAAGGCTGTTAATAAACGCTTGAAGGAACATCTTGACCTCAGCCTATAGTGCACATCACAGCACCGAGACTGCCTTGCTACACGTTATGAACGGCCTTCAACTGTCTGTAGACCGCGGGCATCCATCAATTCTAGTTCTTTTGGATCTATCGGCGGCCTTCGACACCGTGGATCACCCCAAGCTCATCCATCGTCTTCAGAAGGTTTTTGATCTTGAAGGCTCCACATTGTCATGGATTAAATCATATTTATCGAACAGGTGCCAATCAGTTGTGGTCGGTCAGTCACAACATGGATTATGGTGTACCACAAGGTTCGGTTCTTGGACCGGTTCTGTTTACTGTGTACACCACCCAACTAGGCCATGTGATTGATAATAATTGACATGGAAGCTGACGATACTCAGATGTCAGACTGACAACCACTGGCTAAATTAGAGTCCTGCACCGTCCAGATCGCATCCTGGATGTCAACAAACAAATTAAAGTTGAATCAAGATAAAACAGAAGCTATGCTTATTGGTACGGATGCAATGGTGACGAAAGTAGGTGTTACGCACCTGTCTGTGTGTCACGAAAGTATACCATTTATACCTGTGGTTAAGAATCTGGGTGTCTTGATGGAGTCCACATTGAGTATGGATTGTCTGGATTTCTCTCCGGCAAACTTTTTGCACGTGTAGATTCCTTCTGGAACGTCTTCGGCTTTTCGGTGTTTGCTGCACGAAGGGGCTGCCACTTCCATATCCTTGGGTCCTCTGTAGTTGGGCAAAGGGGTATGCCAAATATTGTTCGGTCCCTGTGGTAGCTCTGCTTTTCCTAATAGCTGTCGGAAGAGACAAGAATCTTTCTTCTTGCACGGGCAATTGTCCACCAATTTGTTGAGGAGGAGTGTGTACCGTATGCTCTGGAAAGCGCAGACGTCCTCGTACAGGTGCTCTATGTCCGAGAAACAGCCATCGATCGCGATTCCTTCCGGAACCTTGAGTGGGAGTCGCTCCTGGGGTGTGTAGTCTGTCACTTTCTTTTTCCAGAGAACGCATTTCTTGCTATCGACGCAGTGGTCGATGGCGCCACACTTGCATGTAGAGTTGTCGGGTCTGAAGAGATTGGGGAGTTCTGATAGAGCGGCGAGGCAGTCAGTGCATCGGTTGTGTCTGTCCTTGGGTTCCGGGCAGTAGTCGTCGGCGAGAACGATTCGGAGTTTGCATGCAGCGGATCGAAATTGATGGGATGGGTAGATGTAGACGAAATCGACTATTTTGCCGTCTTCTACGAATGGGTGAAAGAACAGCAAATAGAGTTCGAGAAAGTGGCGAGGGATCTGGTAGCGCTCGTAGAAGGTGTGTCCCGATTGCTCCAGGATTCGTTTCTCTTGATCGGAAAGCAACATATGGCGACACGTCTCCAGAAGGGTCTCGAAGACTTCTGCCATGTTGGGAGTTCTCGTCGTCTGTGGCTCGGGGTCTATATTATCTCGGATTCGTGTATTTCTGGCTTGTGATATGTGGTACTTCCCCTTCGCTTCCTGAAGGGACAAACGACCCGATCGGATCTCGGTATAGGCTTCGTGCGGGAGCTTGGTTCCTGGCATTTTTTCTACATCCATGCACCCGCATAGCTCTAATTTGAGTGCACTTGCGTTGGGAGCCGAAAAGTGGTCTTATCGAAGTTTTGTGCAAAACAATCATTTTTTTGGTGGCTGTGGGAGCGGAATTAGCCAGTATGGAAGCTTCTAGGCAGGGTGCACCTATACAACTTTTCTCTACACTACTATACTACTCTAGTCCCAAATTCTGTGCACAGTGCCAGGATACAGACTAAAACGATTTGGATTCAGATCATTTGCCTACCAATCAGCTGTTCTATGGAATTCTCTGTCTGAAGATCTCAAAACAGCCCCAAGCCTGCTCTCCTTCAAAACTCTTCTCAAAACGTTTTTATGTAAGAAATACTTTGTTTAGACTCTCACCCAAATCACTTTACTTGTAGTGCCATGACCATACCAGCTGGCGTGGAGTTTGGCGCGTTAGAAATTCACTCATTATTATTATTATTATTATTATGTCAGTGATTCTGTCGGTCAAGTCACCATGTTTTATGTGTTGTCACAGGTGTGGAGCTGCTGAAGTTGGCAACTCGCCAGTATGCTAAACGGCAGATCAAGTGGATTCGGAACAGATTCTTGAAACGTAAGGTCCAGCAGGGTTGATGCTGTTCAACAAGTGGCTGGAAACTGGCCACTACCAATGAGCAAAACATTAGCATCAGAATTTCACCCTGACCACCAACCAGGATGGTGACAGGAATTGGGAGGGTCAGGGCCAGAATGTCATGGTAACTGACGGAACTTGACACAGGTGTGTTTTAGCCATGACATGGACAGAAGTGTTTAAACCATGTTATGGACAGAAGTGGGTAAGACTACAGAATACCTGATACCTTCCATCATCTTTGAAAGCAGGCGAGTTTAGGGTTTAAGGGTGACGTGACACTAAACAATATGGCTGGTAGGTGTCAGGTACTCTGTAGGTGTACCCAGAAGTGTTTAAGCCAAAAGTGTTTAAGCCAGAAGTGTTTAAGCCATGTCAGGGACAGAAGTGTTTAAGCCATGACATAGACAGAAGTGTTTAAGCCATGACACTTGCCTGATGTCAGTATAGGGTTCTAATGATACAGGTCCTTGTGTGTGTGACAACATATCGATGTGTGTGGTAGTATGGCAGTGTCTGTGACAGGAGATCGGTATGTATGGCTCTGTGTGTGTGTGTGTGTGTGTGTGTGTGTGTGTGTGTGTGTGTGTGAGTGTGTGTGTGTGAGAGAGAGACAGGACATATGTATGTATGGCTGAGTGTGTGTGTGACAAGACATCTGTATGGCTGTATGTGTGTGTGTATGTGTGTGGCAGTGTCAATGTGTATGACAGTGTCTGTGTATGTATCTTTGTGTCATTGTGTATGGCAGTGTCTCTGTGTGTGACAGGACATTGATCTATGTGACAACATATCAATGTGTGTGAGAGAAAATGGATCTATATGCCATTGTGTGAATGTGTGTGAGAGCAGATCAATTGAGTGTCAATGTGTGTGACTGTCAATGTATGTGACAGTTTGTCAATGTAAGTATTGGTGTGTGACTGTCAATGTGTGTGACTGTGTGTCAATGTGTGCAGCTGTATCAGTGTGTATGACAGTGTGTGAATGTATGTGACTGTGTCAATGAGTATGGCAGTGTGTCTGTGTATGACCGTGTGTCAATGTGTATGGCAGTGTGTATATGTGTGTGACTGTGTCAATGTATGTAACAGTGTGTCAATGTATGTATCGGTGTGCCAATGTGTGTGACAGTGTGTCAATGTGTGTATCAGCATGTCCTTGTGTTGTTTTTTATATCAGTGTCAATGTGTTTGACTGACTGTGTAAATGTGTGTGTTAATGTGTGTATCAGCATGTCCATGTGTGTATTGGTGTGACAGTGTGTGTGACAGTGTGTCAATAGGTATGGAAGTGTGTCAATGTGTATGACTGTGTGACAGTTTGTCAATGTGTATGGAAGTGTGTCAATGTGTATGACTGTGTGTGAGTGTGTCAATGTGTGTATCAGTGTGCCAATGTGTGACAGACTGACAGTGTATCAATGTGTGACAGTGTGACAGTGTGTTAATGTGTATGAGAGAAAAAGCAAGGTATATACCACTGTGTGAATGTGTGAGAGCAGATCTATGTGTTTGTCAGTCTGTGTGACATCATATAGATGTATGTATCAGTCTGTGTGTATATCTGTAACAGAATTTTAATGTGTTTGAGAGTGTTGCAGTGTGTTTGATTGTGATGCTACTGTGAATAATAATGTTTGACCCCGGAGCGCATCCCTCCCTGTTTGCAGGCCCAGGACCTGGTGTGGTGCCAGTGTATGGCGTCGACTCTACGGATGTCAGTCTCTGGGCAGACAATGTCTTGAAGCCTGCCTGTGACATACTCTCTGCTATATTACAGGTAAAGTTGGCCTCTGTGGTGACATACTCTCTGCTATATTACAGGTAAAGTTGGCCTCTGTGGTGACATACTCTCTGCTATATTACAGGTAAAGTTGGCCTCTGTGGTGACATACTCTCTGCTATATTACAGGTAAAGTTGGCCTCTGTGGTCTTGCTGAAATGTAACGTGAATAACCCTAGACATATGACATCATAATGGTTACAGTTATGACGTCACAATGCAAATGTCTCTGTCGCAATGGTATTAGACCTTGCTTCACTCTTGGAAAGTTGACATGAGAGTCATCACACTGTAGGCAGTTTCTATCAATTTATGTTGGAGAGTAATAAACAGAATACTAAACTCGCTTCTGTGAAATACCATTTTATTAAACTCGTGAAAGATTTAGACTTTTGCTTGTTTGATGCCAAATCGTTAACTTGTTTAATAAAAATGGTATTAGATGGAAGGTCCTTTGGTATCCTCTATGTACTATATATCACAGGGATGTATTACTGTACTTTATTATCCATATGGTGAAACATAACCAGTGTCATAAATATCATATGTGCACATATTACTTTTGTCTAGCAACCATTGATTCTGTGTTTCGCCGTCTGTGACGTCATTAAACAATTGAACATGACGTCAATGAACTGGGCAGTCATACTTGCTTACCGTGTTTTACTGCAAAAATGCACATGAATAATATGGATAATAAAGAAATTATTACACTTGCAAGTGTGCCACACGACTTATACGGAACTCGTGCCAACTTTTGTATTGCCCTCGCTCTAGATCGGGCATTACAAAATTTCGCTCTCGTTTCGTATAAGTTGTATGCCACACTTGCTCGTGTAATAATCTCTATATATATCACAGGGATGTGTTACTGTACTATACATGACAGGGATGTGTTACTGTACTATACATCACGGGGATGTAATACTGTACTATATATCACAGGGATGTATTACTGTACTACACATAACAGGGATGTATTACTGTACTACACGTCACAGGGATGTATTACTGTACTACACATAACAGGGATATATTACTGTACTATACATCACAGGGATGTATTACTGTACTATACATCACAGGGATGTATTACTGTACTTTATATCACAGGGATGTATTACTGTACTATATATCACAGGGATATATTACTGTACTATATATCACAGGGATGTATTACTGTACTACACATCACAGGGATGTATTACTGTACTATACATCACAGGGATGTATTACTGTACTATACATCACAGGGATGTATTACTGTACTATACATCACAGGGATGTATTACTGTACTATATATCACAGGGATGTATTACTGTACTATATATCACAGGGATGTATTACTGTACTATATATCACAGGGATCTATTACTGTACTACACATCACAGGGATGTATTACTGTACTATACATCACAGGGATGTATTACTGTACTACACATCACAGGGATGTATTACTGTACTACACATCACAGGGATCTATTACTGTACTACACACCACAGGGATGAATCACTGTACTACACATCACAGGAATGTATTACTGTACTACACATCACAGGGATGTATTACTGTATTATACATCACAGGGATGTATTACTGTACTACACATCACAGGGATGTATTACTGTACTACACATCGCAGGGATGTATTACTGTACTACACATCGCAGGGATGTATTACTGTACTACACATCGCAGGGATGTATTACTGTACTATACATCGCAGGGATGTATTACTGTACTACACATCACAGGGATGTATTACTGTACTATACATCACAGGGATGTATTACTGTACTACACATCACAGGGATGTATTACTGTACTACACATCACAGGGATCTATTACTGTACTACACACCACAGGGATGAATCACTGTACTACACATCACAGGAATGTATTACTGTACTACACATCACAGGGATGTATTACTGTACTACACATCACAGGGATGTATTACTGTACTATACATCACAGGGATGTATTACTGTACTACACATCACAGGGATGTATTACTGTACTACACATCACAGGGATCTATTACTGTACTACACACCACAGGGATGAATCACTGTACTACACATCACAGGAATGTATTACTGTACTACACATCACAGGGATGTATTACTGTACTACACATCACAGGGATGTATTACTGTACTATACATCACAGGGATGTATTACTGTACTACACATCACAGGGATGTATTACTGTACTACACATCGCAGGGATGTATTACTGTACTACACATCGCAGGGATGTATTACTGTACTATACATCGCAGGGATGTATTACTGTACTACACATCACAGGGATGTATTACTGTACTATACATCACAGGGATGTATTACTGTACTATATATCACAGGGATGTATTACTGTACTACACTTCACAGGGATGTATTACTGTACTATGTATCAAAGGGATGTATTACTCATACATCACAGGGATATTTTACTGTACTACACATCACAGGGATGTATTACTGTACTATATATCACAGGGATGTATTACTCTACTACACATCACAGGGATGTATTACTGTACTACACATCACAGGGATGTATTACTGTACTACACATCACAGGGATGTATTACTGTACTACACATCACAGGGATGTATTACTCTACTACACATCACAGGGATGTATTACTGTGTATTATTGTACTATCTATATATCACGATGATACCAAGGGACCAGTTAACATGGATACTCACCTCAGACACATTCTACTGCCTCCTTGCTGACCAGTTAACATGGATACTCACCTCAGACACATTCTACTGCCTCCATGCTGACCAGTTAACATGGATACTCACCTCAGACACATTCTACTGCCTCCATGCTGACTTAACATGCCTCAGACATGCTGCCTCCATGCTGACCAGTTAACATGGATACTCACCTCAGACACATTCTACTGCCTCCATGCTGACCAGTTAACATGGATACTCACCTCAGACACATTCTACTGCCTCCATGCTGACCAGTTAACATGGATACTCACCTCAGACACATTCTACTGCCTCCATGCACCTCAGACACATTCTACTGCCTCCATGCTGACCAGTTAACATGGATACTCACCTCACATTCTACTGCCTCCATGCTGACCAGTTAACATGGATACTCAGACACATTCACATACTGCCTCCATGCTGACCAGTTAACATGGATACTCACCTCAGACACATTCTACTGCCTCCATGCTGACCAGTTAACATGGATACACATTCTACCTCAGACACATGGATACTACCTCAGCCTCCATGCTGACCAGTTAACATGGATACTCACCTCAGACACATTCTACTGCCTCCATGCTGACCAGTTAACATGGATACTCACCTCAGACACATTCTACTGCCTCCATGCTGACCAGTTAACATGGATACTCACCTCAGACACATTCTACTGCCTCCATGCTCACCAGTTAACATGGATACTCACCTCAGACACATTCTACTGCCTCCATGCTGACCAGTTAACATGGATAAGCACCTCAGACACATTGGACTGCCTCCATGCTGACCAGTTAACATGGATACTCACCTCAGACACATTCTACTACCTCCATGCTGACCAGTCCTTGTTGAAACACTGAGCGTCAGTCATGGTACTATGTTTTGACATTATTTGTACGATGCTGCGAGAGATTTCACCACTGAGCCATGAAGGCAGTCATGAAGTTTGTGTTTCAGGGGGAGAATCCAGGTGTCCTGCCCCTGGAGGCTGGTGGTGCTGTGGCAGAACATGTCTACGACGTATGTGACGTGTGTTTCAGGGGGAGAATCCAGGTGTCCTGCCCCTGGAGGCTGGTGGTGCTGTGGCAGAACATGTCTACAACGTATGTGATGTGTGTTTCAGGGGGAGAATCCAGGTGTCCTGCCCCTGGAGGCTGGTGGTGCTGTGGCAGGACATGTCTACAACGTATGTGATGTGTGTTTCAGGGGGAGAATCCCGCCGTCCTGCCCCTGGAGGCTGGTGGTGCTCTGACAGAACATGTCTACAACGTATGTGACGTGTGTTTCAGGGTCCCACCGTCCTGCCCTGGAGGCTGGTGTGCTTGACCAACATGTCTTGCAGTGAGTGTGCAGGACGGGTGTTTACCACTTTGCAGGAGTGGAACGGTATGTGATCACAGAGCTACTAACACCATTTGTAGCGAATAGATATCTTATGAGTAAATAGCAGACGTTCCTTGCCCACTATGAGCCACCAGTCATGCAGCTTCTCAGAGGTGTTTTGGTGTTGAGAGACTGAAACAAAGTCTTGTGAGTAGTCAACAACAATGAGACTCTCACTAGCAGTCAGTTGATGCTGTTGCCTCATCAGTTAGAACCATCATGTTTGTGTTATAGCCCACACAAACAGTCGGAGACACAAGAGGGCACTCAGTAAACAGAGGAAACAGCTACGAAAGGCCGCCGTGCTCCACAGGTAGGGTGACGTTACACTGATGCATGTGAGATGTGAGACACAGGTAGTATCATTACACTGATGCATGTGAGATGTGAGACACAGTTAGTGACATTACACTGATGCATGTGAGATGTGAGACACAGGTAGTGACATTACACTGATGCATGTGAGATGTGAGACACAGGTAGTGACATTACACGGATGCATGTGAGATGTGAGACACAGGTAGTGACATTACACGGATGTATGTGAGACACAGGTATACACGGATGCATGTGAGACACAGGTAGTGACATTACACGGATGCATGTGAGATGTGGGACACAGGTGGTGATGGTACACTGATGCATGTGAGATGTGAGACACAGGTAGTGATGTTACACTGATGCATGTGAGATGTGAGACACAGGTAGGGTGACGTTACACTGATGCATGTGATATGTGAGACACAGTTAGTGACATTACACTGATGCATGTGAGATGTGAGACACAGGTAGTGACATTACACGGATGCATGTGAGATGTGAGACACTGGTGGTGATGGTACACTGATGCATGTGAGACGTGAGACACAGGTCGGATGACATTACACTGATGCATGTGAGATGTGAGACACAGGTAGTGATGGTACACTGAGGCATGTGAGATGTGAGACACAGGTAGTGACGTTACACTGATGCATGTGAGATGTGAGACACAGGTAGGGTGACGTTACACTGATGCATGTGAGATGTGAGACACAGGTAGTGACATTATATGGATGCATGTGAGATGTGAGACACAGGTAGTGACGTTACACTGATGCATGTGAGATGTGAGACACAGGTAGTGACATTACACTGATGCATGTGAGATGTGAGACACAGGTAGTGACGTTACACTGATGCATGTGAGATGTGAGACACAGGTAGTGATGGTACACTGATGCATGTGAGATGTGAGACACAGGTAGTGACGTTACACTGATGCATGCGAGATGTGAGACACAGGTAGTGACATTACACTGATGCATGTGAGATGTGAGACACAGGTAGTGACGTTACACTGATGCATGTGAGATGTGAGACACAGGTAGTGACGTTACACTGATGCATGTGAGATGTGAGACACAGGTAGTGACATTACACGGATGCATGTGAGATGTGAGACACAGGTAGTGACGTTACACTGATGCATGTGAGATGTGAGACACAGGTAGTGACATTACACTGATGCATGTGAGATGTGAGACACAGGTAGTGATGGTACTCTGATGCATGTGATATGTGAGACACAGGTAGTGACGTTACACTGATGCATGTGAGACACAGGTAGTGACATTACACTGATGCATGTGAGACGTGAGACGTAGGTGGGATGACATTACACTTATGCATGCGAGATGAGACACAGGTAGTGACTTTACACGGATGCATGTGAGATGTGAGACACAGATAGTTTGACGTTATATGGCATGAAATTTGATATTAATTGTGACACTTGACATTAAATGAGACATTCCGTGTGATACGAAGTGTTATATTTTGAATGACGTGTGACATTGTGTTTGTATGTGACAGATGAAGTGATATTAAGTGTATATTGTATGCAGCACATTAAGTGTTGCATTATGTACTGCACATGAGTGGCATTGGGTGTAAATTATTAAGTGTAACATTGCATGCAACAGATAAAGGGTGCCACTGTGTACAACACATTGTGTGATGTGAAATATGATGTTTTGTGTGTGACATTATGTGTGACACATGTATGACATTAGGCGCCATTTTGTGTGATGTGTCTTGACCATTTGATTTCAGTGATGAAGCTTGAGAGTCAAGAGATTGAGGCAGGGGAAACGTCATCACATCCTGGGAGTGAGTGAAAGAGGGACATCTTCACACTTCGTCACACGGCTTCCTGGGAGGGAGTGAAATGGCTGTCTTCACACCGAGTCAGCAAGTCTGTCTTGGACGAGCATCTTGGGAGGTTGTGAAAGAGAGTCGACTTCACACTTCGTTACACGGCGTCCTGGGAGGGAGTGAAAGAGAGACATCTTCACACAATGTCAGCAAGTCTGTCTTGTCTTCTCACAACTATTGGATATGTTGGCAGTGAAGAGGACATCTGTTGAAAATGTGTAAAGTTTATGGTGTGAATTTATGGCTATGATGTAGAGGTAGTGTTCTCAGAATTAAGCAAAAGGATAACTATTGTTTGATGGTGGTCACTCAGTGTGACAGAGGGGAACGTGGTCAGGTGCCTTGTTGATTGCAAGCCCACATGCCTGACAGAGCACGTCGTTGCTCATAGCAATCACTGGATGAAACATGTGACCCAGATTAAATTATGTACAGGCAGCCGAGTGCAGTGTTCAGCAACAAACACACACTCACACCTATTCTTCTGCCTCTATGGAATTAGAACATGGTACTTGTTGTTACCCGGCCTAAAGCTGGGAGTTACGGGAATAATACAAGGACTGGAAGGCTTGGGTCTGCCTGTTAGGGGAAGGCTTGGGTCTGCCAGTTAGGGGAATAATACAAGGACTGGAAGGCTTGGGTCTGCCAGTTAGGGGAATAATACAAGGACTGGAAGGCTTGGGTCTGCCTGTTAGGGGAATAATACAAGGACTGGAAGGCTTGGGTCTGCCAGTTAGGGGAATAATACAAGGACTGGAAGGCTTGGGTCTGCCAGTTACGGGAATAATAAAAGGACTGGAAGGCTTGGGTCTGCCTGTTAGGGGAAGGCTTGGGTCTGCCAGTTAGGGGAATAATAAAAGGACTGGAAGGCTTGGGTCTGCCTGTTAGGGGAATAATACAAGGACTGGAAGGCTTGGTTCTGCCAGTTAGGGGAATAATACAAGGACTGGAAGGCTTGGGTCTGCCTGTTCAAGAGTAATTCCGACCTTTTTATGTTCATCACAAGTCTCCTTGACAACACAGTTAAAACAGAACAACTTCATATGGTCACATTTTAATTCAAATTAAGAATGTGTCACCATCAACAATAAACAGATCTAGACTTGTATTAGCATCTGCATCACTTGCTTTGCTCAACATCTGTTACCATGGCAATGTAAGCTAGTATGTCTCAAGTAGTCAACATCTGTTACCATGGCAATGTAAGTTAGAATGTTGAGTTCTAATGTCACAAGTAATAATGTTGTCATCATAGGTTTTCGGACGGCAGTGCTAGCTGGAGTTATAATTAGTGGTGTGTCACATACATTGTAAATTCTTCAGGATAAAGTCACCTTTTATAAGTTCGTGAGCGTTTTATAGTCATTCATATGATTAGAAAGATAATAACAATTGTTTCTGAAATGTCCGAAAACCCACAGTACAAGGATGCTCAAAATGTTAGAATCTATTGAACATTGTTATCCAAAGCATATATATTTCTCTGCCACAAATAACACCATCAACAATATTGTTTGAAAACATATAAATACAAATGAAAGTTACAGGGGTTATGTGAAAGCAACCAATATTGTGACCGCGTGTTCTTCCTTCACTTCCTTGATGAGCTGACAATGGTCATATATCACAGTGAACACAGCCCCACTACCTAGAAACACACATTGCCGTTGGAAGAGGGCACACAAACTGTTCTATTTCACTACAGTCTTTTCCACGATAGCCAGTCTCTCATTCTTCCTATTGCCAAATAGGCCATTCCCAAAGTCCCCATAGATATTCTGAAGACTTGATGTTTAAGCATGAAAGTGAACATTGTATCAGCCTGAACCTCCTTGCTAGTCTCACTACATTGCTGCTCTGTCTGAAGATCTGTACAAGAGTGTGTGCAGAGCCATTTGGCCAGCTCCAAACAAACACAACTTTCACACATTCTGCCTATAACCAAAATATATCTTCATTTCACTTGTTAAGCACACATCCCACTGAGATGACTGATTGATTTACATAGAGAAGGAGGACATCTTCACATCGTGCTGACGTTCCTCATCATAAGGCCGTGACTGTTCGACACTGCTCACTTGCAAAACACAGCATCCAGTTCAAACACTATTGCTTGCATGCATAAAACACTGACATGCAATAGCCTTTTATTCAATATCTAAATATATCTGACATACCAGAAAGGAGATTTTGGATTCAAATTGTTTTCCTGTACAGATGGAACTCCACTCAACAAGAAGGCAATGCCACATATATATATCACTCATGAGATGACACTGGCTACTGAATAATACAATATAAATGTAACCATGAAACAATGTGCTGGTTGCACCTCTGCTGACCGTGGCAACATCACAACCTTGATCCTGTCATGAGCAGGGGATATAACTCTGAACGTACATGAAGCAAGTGTTATATGACAAAAATTAAAGGTTATAGGTCCCACGACATCAAGAAAGAACAGATTTGTCCCAATAGACAATAAAATGTTGACAACTATTACTGGGTAGTGACTAGAAGACAAGTTGCTGCACATGCATGTACTTGACAGCCTGAAAGTGAGTGTCTGTAAAACTAACCTAGCTGAAATTTTATACAATCTGTGATGAAAAGGCCCAAGTGAGTCTGACCTTGGAGACCTTTTGGGGATTCCAGGTTGTTCTGGAGTGTCTGGGAAGATCTGGTGTTCAGGGACACATTGGTTGATAAGCACAAATAAAACAGCTTCGCAAAAATTACAGGGTGCACAAAATTGGAAGTTGGAATCAACTGTGCATGATCAGCAGAAATTAGAGTCACATTGTGGGTGACCTGCTCTTTCACCACATGGAAGCCAAAAGGTGATCTGCCCTTCCACCACACGGAAGCCACATGGTGGGTGATCTGCCCTTCCACCACATGGAAGCCAAAAGTTGGGTGATCTGCCCTTCCACCACATGGAAGCCAAAAGTTGGGTGATCTGCCCTTCCACCACATGGAAGCCAAAAGTTGGGTGATCTGCCCTTCCACCACATGGAAGCCAAAAGTTGGGTGATCTGCCCTTCCACCACATGGAAGCCAAAAGATGGGTGATCTGCCCTTCCACCACATGGAAGCCAAAAGGTGGGTGATCTGCCCTTCCACCACATGGAAGCCAAAAGGTGGGTGATCTGCCCTTTCACCACATGGAAGCCAAAAGGTGGGTGATCTGCCCTTCCACCATATGGAGGCCAAAAGGTAGGTGATCTGCCCTTCCACCATATGGAAGCCAAAAGTTGGGTGATCTGCCCTTCCACCACATGGAAGCCAAAAGTTGGGTGATCTGCCCTTCCACCACATGGAAGCCAAAAGGTAGGTGATCTGCCCTTCCACCACATGGAAGCCAAAATGTGGGTGATCTGCCCTTTCACCACATGGAAGCCAAAAGGTGGGTGATCTGCCCTTCCACCATATGGAGGCCAAAAGGTAGGTGATCTGCCCTTCCACCATATGGAAGCCACATAGTGGGTGATCTGCCCTTTCACCACATGGAAGCCAAAAGGTGGGTGATCTGCCCTTCCACCATATGGAAGCCAAAAGGTAGATGATCTGCCCTTCCACAACATGGAAGCCACATGGTGGGTGATCTGCCCTTCCACCATATGGAAGCCAAAAGGTGGGTGATCTGCCCTTCCACCACATGGAAGCCAAAAGGTGGGTGATCTCCCCTCGCAGGGGAAATCAAATATGATGTGGTAAATGCAGCACGAGAGACAAGAAACTGTAAGGTTGTACAACCAAGTCCTGCCAACAGGAGCCCCCATCCATTCCAATGGCTGTTATAAGTTTGTCATGTCATATTTAGTGTTTGTATAATGTCTTGGTGCATCAACATCTGAGGCCTACAGGAGTGACACTTTAAATTCGACTGCTATTTTAACTTTGATTGTCACAAAGACAATTTGGTGTAGAACTTCACCAGAGGCCTATCTCACACAGGAACAACCACACATACTCAATCATAAAATAGTAGGAAATAAATATGGTACAAAATACAATATAAAACACAAGTAAACAGTCCGAATAAAATACATACAAATATATGTACATGGATATAGCACAAAATAGGATATATAAAACAGTCTTTCATGCTTTCCTCCAACAAGGAACTTCCTTTGTTAAACTGTAACACATTCACCACACAGTTACAGTCTTGCATTGACTTGCATAGTATCCATGATGTCATGGACAAACGTTCATTACTTTGTTTAACAGCATATAGCTTCAGATCTCTTACAACAGACTTAGCACATATCACAGTTGATAGACCTCTGTGAGCCAACATTCAGATGAATCATGGCACTTGGATTAAGCAAAAGTGATTGAAGTACTCATAAAATAGTAACTACGGCAATGACGCATAACTCAACTGGGGGGCAAGAACCTACTTTCAGTTCATCCCAAACTATATATATATGTGTGTGTGTGGAGTTGGTGCTCCTGGTATCACAGTCTTCTGTATACATGTGTCGGCCCGTGCCACCATGTCGTAGTGTCCATGTCGGCCCGTGCCACCATGTCGTAGTGTCCATGTCAGCCCGTGCACATGCCACCATGTCGTAGTGTCCATGTCGGCCTGTGCACATGCCACCATGTCGTAGTGTCCAGGTCATAGTGTCCTTGTTGTGCTGTAATACTCACCATGAGGTTCACTAAACTGATCATCTGTGCAGTCACAGATTAAAGTTGATAATACAATGGTCTTTGGTGGAAAGTAAATTCTTGTGACAAAAGGTTGGTAAGTTACTGGCTTTGAAGGACTTGAGAATATACGGCTCATATCATATCTCATCTGTGAAAAATACTGACAAGTATCATGAGATTCCCTACAGCAGCATTACATCACAAGGTGACCAGCACACATAGAACTCACAACCTGGCTGCAGTATTAAAATATGATGTAGTACAAACATGGCGTATGTGCAGCCAAGTCATGAACTGGGCTTGTATTTGTGGTCGTGTGTTTCCCTGCCTGATCACCAGATGGAGTTACAGGGACTCCCTTCCTCATGCACCAGATTCCCAGAATCCATCCATCCATCCAAGCCACGTTACCTGCCCAGTAGACTGTACTTAACATCACTGATCACATAGAAACTGTCAATATGGTGTTGCTATAAGCCATGTTGTGTGAGGTGATGCTGGACCCATGACACGAGCCTGTATGTTGACACTGTCACAAACAACGAAAGCCTGTATCACATAATGCTGATGGTACCGGGCCCATGACGAGACAGTTCATATGTACAGGGAGAAAAGCTTGAGGAACTCTTCAGGAGTGAGAGGTGTAAATGCTGGAGGCTCTTCGCTGTAACATGGGTGGCCCAGGGACTGAAACAGATGTATCGTCACAAATAAGCAAATTCACTCTGCATTTTGAACACTGACATGTCTCTTGGCTCCCAGTGGTGATCTGGGTGAGATGGGACCTGAGCAAGTCATGACTGCTGTATCAACACACTGGAATGATGATGGACACTGGAGTTAAAATGTGTGATTGTTTAGTAGTGTCACTTATCTTCTGGATTTCACAGGAGATATAGCTTGAGCAAGGTTTCGCAGACCATTGATACTTATCTGATGATGTCACAATCGAAATCAGCAGCTGTGTACATTTACACAAGACACTGGTGGTCATTACTTTTTGCAAAATTTACATGTTTGAAGAATAATTTTCAATGATGAATAGAATCTCAAGCTCATGTCTTTTGATGTGAGATTAGGCATCATTCATGAATAATGGTTTAACAACTCGCAGTCCTAATTATCACATACTAGAAAACACTTTGGGATTCTCTGTCTTCAAGGGCAGCAGTGGTTGCTGTAGCAATAACTCAGTCTTCAACTGACTGAGGGATGATGTCTTACCTGCCAGAAGATATTGCTGCAGTTCCCACACAAGGCCAACATGTCAGCATAACTGTCTTTCTTCCCAAATCGCCTACAATGACATCAGTGATGATATTTACTTACAAAAGAAACATGACATACATACAAATCTGTACTGGCCGCATGTGACCTTGACATACACCATACAAATCTGTACTGGGCACTTGTGACCTTGACATACAGTTCTGTATTGGGCAGATGTGATCTTGAACTATATACAACACACAGATCTGTACTGGGCAGATGTGACCTTGACATACAGATCTGTACTGGCCGCATGTGACCTTGACATACACAACCTACAGATCTGAACTGGGTGCATGTGACCTTGACATACACAACATACAGATCTGTATTGGGCAGATGTGACCTTGACAGACAACACACAGATCTGTATTGGGAAGATGTGACCTTGACGTACAGATCTGTACTGGACACGTGACCTTGACATACACAACATACAGATCTGAACTGGGCTCATGTGACCTTGACATACACAGCATACAGATCTGAACTGTGAACCGTGATATGGTCACTAACAAGCCATTGCTTGTGTCACACTGGGTTTTTCTTTGACATCAGGGGATATTTTGTAAAAACTGTCAACAATTATCTTACTTGAAACATCTTCTGTAGATGTACTTCCAGTCAATGGTAGGCTGGTTGATGGCCACAGGTAGAAAGGTCACAAGCTGTTTGTCTGTGAAATGGAAGAAGCAGAGTTGCTTCCAGAGCTGTGCTTCCTGTGACAGCTCATAGACAGTGTGGTTGGTTTGGGAGGAATGCAGGATGTCCTTGTGGTCTGCCAGGCAGCTCAGGATCCCCCGGATACAGTCCTCTGGTAGGTCCATCATCGTCAGCTTCCCGTCACTCTCTCTCTGTGGAGGTAGACAAATGACACATACCAAATGATGTATAACTCTCCTACTTTGGAGGTTGACAAGTGACACATACCAAACGATGTATAACTCTCCTACTTTGGAGGTAGACAAGACTGACACATACCAAATGATGTATAACTCTCCTACTTTGGAGGTTGACAATTGACACCTACCAAATGATGTATAACTCTCCTATTTTGGAGGTTGACAAGTGACACATACCAAATGATGTATAACTCTCCTACTTTGGAGGTTGACAAGTGACACATACCAAACGATGTATAACTCTCCTACTTTGGAGGTAGACAAGACTGACACATACCAAATGATGTATAACTCTCCTACTTTGGAGGTTGACAAGTGACACCTACCAAATGATGTATAACTCTCCTATTTTGGAGGTTGACAAGTGACACATACCAAATGATGTATAACTCTCCTACTTTGGAGGTTGACAAGTGACACATACCAAATGATGTATAACTCTCCTACTTTGGAGGTTGACAAGTGACACCTACCAAATGATGTATTACTCTCCTACTTTGGAGGTAGACAAGTGACATATACCAAATGATGTATAACTCTCCTACTGTTGAGGTAGATAAGTGACACATACCAAACGATGTATAACTCTCCTACTGTTGAGGTAGACAAGTGACACATACCAAACGATGTATAACTCTCCTACTTTGGAGGTAGACAAGTGACGTGCACAAATCTCTTGTGGAACTATATTTCATGCTGGATTTCTAACATGTCACATAAGGTAGATGCCAGGGCTGAGTGTGACATGTACCTCTGTCATCTTGTAGGCATCCACTTTTGAGTTCATCTTCGTGACCTTCTGCTGGTGAAGCATCCACAGCCTTGCACTGCCGATATGGGACGTCTTCCCCTGCTGGAGGGCCAGGTCTGCTGTCTTGAGAAGTTCACGGAGCGTGCTCAGACTGCACTCAGTCTTCAATACTTGAACACAAAAGTTTACCATGAAATTGATCATGTACTTAGCAACCACACTTTCCAGGATTACTTACAATTTTCTTCAGTGAGTGAGTTTAGTTTTACACCACTTGTCATGGCAGGGGACACCAGAAATGGGCTTCACGCATTGTACTCATGTGGGGAATCAAACCGGGGTCTTCGGTGTGACCAGCGAACGCTTTAACCACACGGCTACCCCACAGCCCCAGGAATATTTACAGATTTGCTTTGAAGTTGGTCAAGGGAAACTCATGGGTGTGAGACCAAAATATGGCAAATACTGTATTTAGACAATAAATAAACAGATTCTGGACAAAAGAGTTCAAGATCTTCTTTTCAAAATAAAGAAAGGGTAATGAGCTCACCTTGTTCGGAGGTAGCCTCAAGGATGCTGATCACTTGTTTCTGGGCAGTCCCACTCAGGCCACTCAGCTTCGAGTCCAGGATCAGATGCAGCACCTACAACACAGCCCTGGCACTAAAGTGGACATTCTCACGGCTACATGTGGAACACAGCCCTGGCACTAAAGTGGACATTCTCACAGCTACATGTGGAACACAGCCCTGGCGTTACACTGGACATTCTCACATCTACATGTGGAACACAGCCCTGGCGTTACACTGGACATTCTCACAGCTACATGTGGGACACAGCCCTGGCACTACACCGGACATTTTCACAGCTACATGTGGAACACAGCCCTAGCACTACACTGGACATTCTCACAGCTACATGTGGAACACAGCCCTTGCACTACACTGGACATTCTCACAGCTACACGTGGAACACAGCCCTTGCACTACACTGGACATTCTCACAGCTACATGTGGAACACAGCCCTAGCACTACACTGGACATTCTCACAGCTACATGTGGAACACAGCCCTTGCACTACACTGGACATTCTCACAGCTACATGTGGAACACAGCCCTAGCACTACACTGGACATTCTCACAGCTACATGTGGAACACAGCCCTTGCACTACACTGGACATTCTCACAGCTACATGTGGAACACAGCCCTAGCACTACACTGGACATTCTCACAGCTACATGTGGAACACAGTAACCACCAGAGTCTTCTGTATGTTGGCCATGTGTACCCTGATTATTGGTGTAACCACCAGAGTCTTCTGTATGTTGGCCATGTGTACCCTGATTATTGGTGTAACCACCAGGGTCTTCTGTATGTTGGCCATGTGTACCCTGATTATTGGTGTAACCACCAGGGTCTTCTGTGTGTTGGCCATGTGTACCCTGATTATTGGTGTAACCACCAGGGTCTTCTGTGTGTTGGCCGTGTGTACCCTGATTATTGGTGTAACCACCAGAGTCTTCTGTGTGTTGGCCATGTGTACCCTGATTATTGGTGTAACCACCAGGGTCTTCTGTATGTTGGCCGTGTGTACCCTGATTATTGGTGTAACCACCAGGGTCTCTCTGTACCCTGATTATTGGTGTAACCACCAGGCCATGTGTACCCTGATTATTGGTGTAACCACCAGAGTCTTCTGTATGTTGGCCGTGTGTACCCTGATTATTGGTGTAACCACCAGGGTTTTCTGTGTGTTGGCCGTGTGTACCCTGATTATTGGTGTAACCACCAGAGTCTTCTGTGTGTTGGCCATGTGTACCCTGATTATTGGTGTAACCACCAGAGTCTTCTGTGTGTTGGCCATGTGTACGCTGATTATTGGTGTAACCACCAGGGTCTTCTGTGTGTTGGCCATGTGTACCCTGATTATTGGTGTAACCACCAGGGTCTTCTGTGTGTTGGCCATGTGTACCCTGATTATTGGTGTAACCACCAGGGTCTTCTGTGTGTTGGCCATGTGTACCCTGATTATTGGTGTAACCACCAGAGTCTTCTGTATGTTGACCGGGTGTACCCTGATTATTGGTGTAACCACCAGGGTCTTCTGTGTGTTGGCCATGTGTACCCTGATTATTGGTGTAACCACCAGGGTCTTCTGTATGTTGGCCGTGTGTACCCTGATTATTGGTGTAACCACCAGGGTCTTCTGTATGTTGGCTGTGTGTACCCTGATTATTGGTGTAACCACCAGGGTCTTCTGTGTGTTGGCCGTGTGTACCCTGATTTTTGGTGTAACCACCAGGTTCTTCTGTATGTTGGCCATGCGTACCCTGATTATCGGTGTAACCACCAGGGTCTTCTGTGTGTTGGCCATGTGTACCCTGATTATTGGTGTAACCACCAGGGTCTTCTGTATGTTGGCCGTGTGTACCCTGATTATTGGTGTAACCACCAGGGTCTTCTGTATGTTGGCCGTGTGTACCCTGATTATTGGTGTAACCACCAGAGTCTTCTGTATGTTGGCCATGTGTACCCTGATTATTGGTGTAACCACCAGAGTCTTCTGTATGTTGGCCGTGTGTACCCTGATTATTGGTGTAACCACCAGGGTCTTCTGTATGTTGGCCGTGTGTACCCTGATTATTGGTGTAACCACCAGGGTCTTCTGTGTGTTGGCCGTGTGTACCCTGATTATTGGTGTAACCACCAGGGTCTTCTGTGTGTTGGCCGTGTGTACCCTGATTATTGGTGTAACCACCAGGGTCTTCTGTATGTTGGCCGTGTGTACCCTGATTATTGGTGTAACCACCAGAGTCTTCTGTATGTTGGCCGTGTGTACCCTGATTATTGGTGTAACCACCAGAGTCTTCTGTATGTTGGCCGTGTGTACCCTGATTATTGGTGTAACCACCAGGGTCTTCTGTATGTTGGCCATGTGTACCCTGATTATTGGTGTAACCACCAGAGTCTTCTGTATGTTGGCCATGTGTACCCTGATTATTGGTGTAACCACCAGGGTCTTCTATATGTTGGCCATGTGTACCCTGTACATGTGTACACTTCACCCACCTTACACACATAGTTAAATCTGCGGATATCCTTGACAGCCCCGGTCATGTCCAGACGGATGAAGGCATCACTGATGCTGGTCAGTTCCTTCCGCTGTAACAATGTCGGACAAGCGGAATAAGCACATTGTGTTACCTGGACATCATGGCTCTACTGCATCAGGAAGTGGTACTACTTAGGGTGGGACTGTAAGAAGCCTGATACCTGGTTACCCAGAGCTCACTTGCCCAGGCTGAACCATATACCCAGGAACTAGGTAAGTTAGGAGTTACTTCCCTTTGCAATGGTTGTCATGGCATCTGCTGGCCAAGATGGTGGTATCTGGGAAGTGTGAGTGAGTGAGTTTAGTTTTACACCACACTCAGCAATATTCAAGTTATATGGCAGCGGTCTATAAATAATCAAGTCTGGACCAGACAATCCAGTGATCAACAGCATGAGCATAGTTCCACACATCCCCTTAGTCACCTCATACAACAAGCATGTGAAGATCAATTCTAACCTGGATCTTCACTGGTGTATCTGGGAGGAACAGGCCATGTCTAAACGCATAGTGACATCACACATTACATGTTGCAGGAACATGCATCAGACGCAAACGACTTAACTATCCTAATCGATGTCTGCTCCAGCTGGTAGAATTAATCACAAAACATGACATACAGAATGTAGCACCATAACGTGTAGTTGGTGATTTGAAAGTTTGGTTTGTATTGTGTTGACTGCTGACATGAAAGTTATGAGGCCACATGGCCGCAGGTGGATGCAACAGGACCTGACCCTCGGTCCCCTGCCCCGGCCTACTCTGTGTTATGGGCATCTGGTGGACATCACACTGTGATTAGTCTTTTTACTGAGGGGAATGGATGGCAATGGATTTGAATACTAGGCTTGGATAGGTTATGAGCAAATTACCCAGGGTCTGTCACCTAGGGCTTCAAGGTGTACAACATTTGTCCCACATTGATCTGCAATACTGTGACACAACTGAATGTTCAAAGCTCACTGTTACTTGCCCCCGTGATATGTCTACCTGTCAACTTACAGAGAGAAGCTATACAGTCTTGTCTTCTAACACATTTGTATCAAAAGGATTAGTTTCAGCACTAACTTGCATCTGGATGTTAATTATCTGAAACATGTAACCAACAAATTGTCTTTTTTTTTAACCTGTCCCAGACGAATGTCTCTCTTCTGTTCATCTCACCTCCTTGGACGTCCCGCGGTGGTACTGAATGAAGGGTTGTCTCCTCTCCATTACGTCTCTCTGGCTCATGTCCACCAGGGCAAGTCGGATCAACCTGTCAAGCAGGAAGGAGAGGTCAGCCCATCAAGCAGCTGGCACTGGCAATGCTACGTTTTATGGTTAATTATCTGTTCTGAGACTTCATTTTAACTCCGAAGACATGATGTGTAACAAGTACTACCTTCAACTCATGGTACTTCACCACCAATATATCTTGAAGTGTTACAGGATGTAGGTTTTAGTTGGGAAACAAACCTGAGTTAAATATGGGATAAATCATTTGTAAATACTAAATGAATTCAATAAGCATGACAAAAACATGTCAGCAGTTTCTTGTACATATGGGATGTCTATTTGTCTTTATGTGAATTGAGAAAATATGTTCCCACACGAGAGGGACATCAGAACTATGCAACTGGAGTAAAACACGCCCGAGAGTAACAAGAATCAAACATTCAAACATATCCAACACAAGGGGAGACAAATCTGGCCCACACTCAGCATTCCAGTGGGTTGAATCAACAAAGCAATAAAAGGTGCACATTTGTAACTACATGATGAATATATAATCTCAATGACTTGGAACTGGATCGCCAATTTGAAACTTGTTCAGTTTCATTGTTGACAAATGATTCCTCACACAGATGTTTTCACCATTGCGATCCCCCAGTACCACACTGAGTCACACTGGAGGATCAATAAAGGCAATAGTTGTTAAGAAAAGAATTATTAGCAATGGTTCCCAACATTTTGTTTTTATTCTGTTTGTACTGAAATACTTCTTGTGACAAGTGCGCTTATGATCAGCTGCAAATACTGTATTCCCTCATCATTGACCATGTTGACAATGAAAGAAAATGGTGAAAAAGATGATGGATGGCAAATACTGACAGTGCTGGGATAAAGCACACAGCACAGAAGGAGTTGGTACTCTCTCATGTTGATGTATAGTTTTCATTCAGTAAACAATTACAATCATGTTAATATTATGTAATTTCCATTTTGCTGAATATTTTCACACTGCTTAATGTTATTTCCACTCTGGCCCCGTGACTCGCATGAGCGCCATGCACCTTTGGCTGCACAGTGAGAGATGGGCTTGCTTTCTTAGCATTTCATCTGCTGATCATGGGATGAAAATATTGACATAGATTACTCTTAGAATAAAAAAATATTAAAACTATATGAAAACATCGTGTACAGCTGTTCTCCTACCTATATTATGTGAGGGTGGTGGTGCGATCCTTCTGCTCCCTGACAATACACAACAGAGAGTGAATGGTTCAGGATATATGTACCTGTCTGTGTCATCACAAAAACTAATATAACGCTGTGTTGGCCACGTTCAATGCACATCCAAACATGGACTCGTCGTGACTATTTTAGCCATATATGGCCATGCACAATAACCGGTTTACCGTTCAATAAAGCGGGATGCCCTGGGTTTACCAAGCAATCTGCTATTTCAGGCCATGACACATGCAACTGTTAGCTATCATGGCTGCCGTCAGTGTGTCCAGTCAAGCCGCTACATATGGGGACAGCAATATTGATGCCGTACCACGTGTTGGTTATTACTAATTGATCTCAACGGGACATATGAATGTACATAATGATTGGCTGGTGAGGTCTGATAAGATTTAACCCGACATGCGTTTGATTAGACTACACGTAGATAACGAAACTAGCCTCGGAAGAGAAGTCCCGCGACTACCGTATCAAAACAAACCTTGCTATCACATTTTCGTTGAGATTTTCAAAGACTTTAAGCCTCCAAAGTTTGAGTCTTTCCCATCCACTGGCTGTCCGAACCCATTCGTCGCCCGGCGATCGCCAGTCGCGACCAAGAAAAGGCATTATTCACGAAATCTCCTACTTTCTTTGGTCTTTTGTATGAGAAAATGCGCACTGTTTATAAACATATGTAAATCAGGTAGCTGGATGTACGGGCCGTATTTTTCCTAGCGCAGCGGTTGGTCATTGGTATCATGATGCGTGTTTTCATTGGTTAATATTTCTTCGTCGGCCATGTGCAGTTATCACGTGGTATTGTTTACATCGATCAGCTGTTTCTTACATACACAAAGAACACCGTTATTTTGACTAATCTGCGTCTGAGTTTTTGTGCCAACATTCCATCCTTGAGAATAAACATTGCAGTCTTTGTGTTGTCATTAATTCCTTCGTAGATGATAAATCGTTGGTGTTTTCACAACAAACGCAAGTTGTAAGTAGTTAAGCAGGGGTCCAAAACTTTCAGAAAAAAGTTGGCTAGGCATCTTTTTGCGTCGTTGCTTGGTTCATGACGAAGCTGCACTTGTAACGCCATACTCGTGAACTCATTTTGGATTGTTGCTCGTGCCTGACTCACTGTCCCAATTTTCTCTCGTAACTAACGTTTATGTTTGCTTAAAATATATGTGATATATGTGTTAATAGGGGTCATGCTGACCTTTTTACGAATAAATATGTACACATTCCTTGTACTTCGCAAGGAAAATGTTTTATTGGGGACGTCCTGGACATTTAAAACATTATAGAGCCGCACTGCAACAAATACCTCTCTTGTGATACTCCTAGTGGTATTCACGTGTGGCCTCAGTATTGGCGTAGTGACTGGAGTGACTGACTATAAGGAGTACCCACACAGCTGCCCGAGACTGATGACCAACCCTCAAGTGGGACATGACATACAGCTATGCATACCGTCACGGATAAACTGTCAGTCATGGGTTTGTCTAGACCACATCACGGATAAACTGTCGATCATTGGTTTGTCTAGCCCACATCACGGATAAACTGTCGATCATGGGTTTGTCTAGCCCACATCACGGATAGACTGTCGATCATGGGTTTGTCTAGCCCACATACGATCACTTTATAAACAGACTACCACGTTACAGCGGAAACTTGGGACTGTGACCCAGAGTGCTGATCGTGAAGTCTGTAGTGTATGTTCGCTGTCCATATCTTACTCTCACGGATAGACACACATACAGTGCATGCTGTCCATATCTTACTCTCACAGATAGACACACATACAGTGGACGCTGTCCATACCCTACTCTCACAGACAGACACACACACAGTGCACGCTGTCCATATCTTACTCTCACAGATAGACACACATACAGTGGACGCTGTCCATATCTTACTCTCACAGATAGACACACATACAGTGCACGCTGTCCATATCTTACTCTCACAGACAGACACACACACAGTGGACGCTGTCCATATCTTACTCTCACAGATAGACACACATACAGTGCACGCTGTCCATATCTTACTCTCACAGATAGACACACATACAGTGGACGCTGTCCATATCTTACTCTCACAGATAGACACACATACAGTGCACGCTGTCCATATCTTACTCTCACAGATAGACACACATACAGTGGACGCTGTCCATATCTTACTCTTACAGATAGACACACATACAGTGGACGCTGTCCATATCTTACTCTCACAGACAGACACACACACAGTGGACGCTGTCCATATCCTACTCTCACAGATAGACACACACACAGTGCACGCTGTCCATATCTTACTCTCACAGACAGACACACACACAGTGGACGCTGTCCATATCTTACTCTCACAGATAGACACACACACAGTGGACGCTGTCCATATCTTACTCTCACAGATAGACACACACACAGTGCACGCTGTCCATATCTTACTCTCACAGATAGACACACATACAGTGGACGCTGTCCATATCTTACTCTCACAGATAGACACACCTACAGTGCACGCTGTCCATATCTTACTCTCACAGATAGACACACATACAGTGCACGCTGTCCATATCTTACTCTCACAGATAGACACACATACAGTGGACGCTGTCCATATCTTACTCTCACAGATAGACACACATACAGTGCACGCTGTCCATATCTTACTCTCACAGATAGACACACATACAGTGCACGCTGTCCATATCTTACTCTTACAGATAGACACACATACAGTGGACGCTGTCCATATCTTACTCTCACAGACAGACACACACACAGTGGACGCTGTCCATACCCTACTCTCACAGATAGACACACACACAGTGCACGCTGTCCATATCTTACTCTCACAGACAGACACACACACAGTGGACGCTGTCCATATCTTACTCTCACAGATAGACACACATACAGTGGACGCTGTCCATATCTTACTCTCACAGATAGACACACACACAGTGCACGCTGTCCATATCCTACTCTCACAGATAGACACGCACACAGTGCACGCTGTCCATATCTTACTCTCACAGATAGACACACATACAGTGCACGCTGTCCATATCTTACTCTCACAGACAGACACACATACAGTGGACGCTGTCCATATCTTACTCTCACAGACAGACACACACACAGTGCACGCTGTCCATATCTTACTCTCACAGACAGACACACATACAGTGCACGCGCGCACGCACACACATAATCGGGATAGTGATTGGATGTTATGAAATCCGTGACACTGATTACGGGGGTGAGAACTTTGTTCCATTTCAATAACAACACACTCTGAAACAATACATGATTCAAAGTCATACATAAGAATTGAAGTCAGTCATTACATCTTTCAGATGTAATATTATAGTTATACAGATTCTAGACAAATAACTATAAGAAGCGATCACTCCTTGATTTAATTCTGACATACAATTGACATAAATGTGGTTAAGGTACAGGCATCTGAATAACCGTGCCCAGATAGGCCATATGAAGTTCACAGTGCCGCATACACATATAAAACAAAGTAATGCCTACACGGTGTATGGCACTAGGGTGTAGAATACTGCGCCACCAAGCCAATCAAGCGTACCTATAATCTATGTATATGTAGTATACTTCATACTGGTGTTATTGTGTCCCAGGTTTTGAAATGATAGAAGATAGATCGATATATTTATCTCTCTCTATATCTATATCCGCCCATCTATCTATATCCATATATCCATCTATATCAATATATCCATCTATATCCATATATCCATTTATATCAATATCTATATCTATATCCATATATCTATCTATATCCATGTATCCATCTATATCATCTATATCCATCTATATCCATATCTCTATCTTTATCCATATATCATCTATATCTATATATCCATCTATATCCATATATCCATCTATCATCTATATCCATATATCTATCTATATCCATATATCATCTATATCCATATATCCATCTATATCCATATATTTATCTATAACCATAACTGTATCTGTATCCATATATCCATCTATATCCATATGTCCACCTATATCCATATATCCATCTAAATCGTTGTATCTATCTATATCCATATATCTAATCTATATCCATATATCATATATATCCATATATCTATCTTTATACATATATCTATCTATATCCATATCTCTATCTATATCCATATATCTATCTATACCCATATCTCTATCTATAACCATAACTGTATCTATATCCATATATCCATCTAAATCGATATATCTATCTACTTCCATATATTTAATCTATATCCATATATCTATCTATATCCATATATTTATCTATAACCATAACTGTATCTATATCCATATATCATCTATATCCATATATCCATCTATATCCAAATATCCATCTATATCCATCTTTGTACTTGTATCCATAATGTATCTATATCCATATATCCATCTATATCCAAATATCCATCTATATCCATATATGTAACTGTATCCATAATGTATCTATATCCATCTATATCCATATATATCTATATCCATATATCTATCTATATCAATATATCTATATCCATATATCATCTATATCCATATCTCTATCTATATCCATATCTCTATCCATATATCCATCTATATCATCTATCCATCTATATCCATATACCTATCTATATATCTATCTATATCCATATATATAACTGTATCCATAATGTATATATCCATTTATAACCATTTCTCTACATGTCTATATCCATATCTCTATCTATATCCATATATCCATCTATATCCATATCTCTATCCATAAAATATCCATCTATATCATCTATCTATATCCATAATCTATCTATATCCATATATCTGTCTATATCCATATATCCATTTATATCCATTTCTCTACATGTCTATATCCATCTATCTATATCCATTTATATCTCTATATGTCTATATCATCTATCTATATCCATATATCCATTTATATCCATTTCTCTACATGTCTATATCCATCTATTTATATCCATATATATCCATTTCTCTACATGTCTATATCCATCTATCTATCTATATCCATAATCTATCTATATCCATATATCTGTCTATATCCATATATCCATTTATATCCATTTATCTACATGTCAATATCCATCTATCTATATCCATTTATATCTCTACATGTCTATATCATCTATCTATATCCATATATCCATTTCTCTACATGTCTATATCCATCTATTCATATCCATATATATCCATTTCTCTACATGTCTATATCCATCTATCTATCTATATCCATATCTCTATCTATATCCATATATCTATCCATATATCCATCTATATCATCTATCTATCTATATCCATAATCTATCTATATCCATATATCATCTATATCCTTCTATATCCATATCTCTATCCATATATCCATCTATATCATCTATCTATCTATATCCATAATCTATCTATATCCATATATCTATCTATATCCATATATCCACTTACATGTATATCCATTTGTCTACATATCGATTCGATATAGATAGATAGATGGATATAGACTAGGGCTGTGTATTGCCCCGAATTTCGTATTGCGATATATTGCAATACACTCTTCTGTATTACGATACGTATTGTGATATATTGCGATACACTCTTCTGTATTGCGATACGTATTGTGATATATTGCGATACACTCTTCTGTAT